AGTGACCCTGCTCAGGAAATCCGGCCTGGGGGGCAGGGTGAGGCAGCATCTGGGATTGGGATGGGGCAGGGTTGGGTACAGGGTGGGAGGAGCAGGTGACTGCGGTGCAGCCCCCACAGGCAGAGCCAGTGTTGCAGCCTACCATCAGGGAAAATGAGGCTGGCCCACCCTGGAGGCTGAGTGAGGGGTGCCCTGGGTGGGACTCAAAGGAGGGGTCAGGAAGAGCCCACCCTCTTGGGTGTCTGGGGCAGGAGGAGGGCAGACCATGGGTAGACACCAGGTAGAACTTCCCACGGGAACCTGGAGGCTGGGAGTTGTGATTCCCTTTGGGGAAGTCAGGGAGCTGATTAACATTGAGAAGGTCTTTGTGGGTCACCTATCAGGGCCCCACAGAACCCTGGATCTGAAGGGCTTGGTGGACTGAGGACCTGGAGGGACCACTGGGTCTGTGACCGCCTCCTCCACTCTGGCTGATGGGGGAACTCAGCCCCTACACCACCACCTCCCTTTCATTGCAGGCAAATGCACTGTTCTGTCCTGTACAGACTGTCTGGTGCCATCCTGACTCCTGAGGGCTAGTCCAGCCACCACAGCTCTGAAGCATGTTTGTTGAATGAATAACTGAATGGCATTGAGTGATGGGGGAAACTGACCCCTGGGCAGTGGGGACTGGCCACGATACACTTATGCTCCACACCTACATGGTTCCCCACGCCCCTCCCACATTCCCCCCCGCCACATGCATGAGGAAACAGGCGACCCCTCCACTTGGGCAGTTGGAGGAGGATTTAGTTAAAGGACATTTTGCAGAGTGGTGGGCGAGTGGTGCCTGGTGGGGGTTGTACAACCTGAAGGGTGGGGTCAGAGTTATAAGAACAAGAAGGCCAAAGCCCCTCCTGCAGCTGAGGGCAGCAGCTGCCTTGGGGACTGAATGCCCACTCTCCCCTCTCCCTTCTACATGCTGTCAGGCTCCTGTTGCCGACCCTGGAAGGTGGTCTGGTCTTTTGGGGACCATGTTCTGGAGGTCATCAGGCCTGAGTGCAGAGGGGGAGGGGACCGAGGCTCACCTGAGACGGGACTGCGTTGCCTCGGGTCTCTCCTCTTGATGCCTGGCTATGGCCTCCCTCTGTGTGTCCTCTGGAGCTACCTGCTGGGGCCCACGAGCCCTGCCCATGGGTTCCCCAAGGATCGGGGATGATGGTGGTGACCAGACAGCTTGGAAATAAGAATACCTGGTCACTGACGCTCTTGGTGGTGAGGAAGGAGCACTCCGGGCCCACGGCCACTAGGATGATTTTCGCCCCTTCCTGCACAGATGAATCTTCTATCTCCTCTCAAGTTTTCTTTGTCCATCTGGGGGCTCCTTTAAACAGCATGAGCACCCTCACTCTCCCCAAAGCAGAAGGACTTCCTAGGGTTCTACATTTTGGCTTCAGGACTCATGTAAAGCAATATTTTCTATTTTTACAAAGTCAAACCTGTCATTCTTCTGCTTAGGAAATTCCTACACTTAAAAAAAATTTTTTGAGAGGTCTTTCCCATCAGAGGTTAGCTAAGTATTCCTACATATTTTTAATTGTGGTAGAATACACACGACATAATATTTTCCATAACCATTCAAAGTGCCCAGCTCAGGGGCATTAAGTGCATTCACACTGTTATGTGACCATCTCTACCATCACCTCCAGAACCTTTTCATCTTCCCAAATGGAAACTCTGTCCCCATTTCCCCTCCCCAGCACCCTGTCTCTAGGAATTTGACTCCTTCAGGGCCCTCTTGTAAGTGGGATCAGACAGGATTTGTCGTCTTCCGTCTGGCTTATTTCACATAGCATAATGTCCTCGAGGTTGACCCTTAATGTAACCCGTGTCAGAGAGTCTTGAATAATATCCTAAATTTACAGATAAATCACATTTTCTTATCTATTCATCATCGGGGGTTGGGGGGGTGATGGCTTGTGGGCTTGTGGTTTCTGTGGGGGGCTGAAGACATCCTGGAACTAGAGAGATTTGTGGGTTGCATCACATTGTGATTGGAATAAACGCCTCTGAATTGTTCACTTAAAAATGATAAATTTTACGGTGTGTGAATTTCACCTGAATTTTTAAAGTGGATGTTTTGTTGGAGTTCCACTAAATGGGTAAACTGAGGTGGAAAATCGGCTCCCTGCAGGATTCCGGCTCTTGGGCTGCCCTGTATTCCGGTCTTCTCGAGCTTTCTTCTCCCTGAGCAGGGACGTTCCTGATTCCATCCAAGGCCACTCAGCAGGAGCTTCATGGCTGCTATTCTGACTGGGGCCATTTCTCTCTTATCTCCTAAGTGGTCGAGGCAGCTGACAGGGCACATTGATTTCTGCCTTCACTGTGCCGGTTGCAAGGCTGCGTCTCAGGTGTTCATCACTTTGCAGAGATGACGACTTCACCTCATTCCCTAGCTCTCAGTTGCTGTTTTTAAATAAACCTGGAGGGTGAGTGGGGGACGCAGGCACTGCCATCTCCTCCTGGACCCCCCAGCAGTGTCCCCTGGTATATCTCCTAGAGCACCTCCACGGGGAGGCCCCCAACCCACCCCTGGTTCTCTGAGGATGTGGGTGGCCTTGGATTTGGAGTTTATCAGACACCTTTCTTAGCCTGACCTGCTTGGCCCTCCTGGGTCAGCAGCTGGGAGCAGGGCTGTCCTGGGAGGCTCAGCTGAGCTGCCCCAGCTTCCCCCCAAGTCCAGACACCCTGGCCAGTGAGGTGACAGGGAGACCAAAGAGCCACCAGGTCTGCAGGCTTCCCTGGTATGCCTGCTTTCAGCCCTGTAACCTCAGGGCCCCCAGAGCAGCACGGAGGGGCTCTGTAGCCAATGCTGGACAGGGGAGCTGAGGCCACATGGGAGGCTGGGAAGAGCACAGACTTTGACTGGAGCCTTTGGGCAGGGGCTGTCCACCTGGCCTCGCCCAGCCAGGCTGGCGTGCAGCAACACACAGGGGTCTGGGATCCCAGTCAGGGTGGGAGGGGAGACTGGGACCTGGGAGGACAGAGGGAGGATGGGGTCCTTCCAATCCCCCATAGACCCCCACTCCTGTTGGGGCACCACTGTCTCCAGTGGAGCCCTCCCTGCTGCTGCAGCCCCGTTAGTGCTCAGAGGAGGCTCCTGACGCCCTGCTGGTTGCCAAGCGCCCTGGGCGTGACCAGCTATTCCAACCATAAAAGGACACAGACTAAAGGGCCAAAGTGCAGCCTCAGGTTTCTCGGCCCAACTCAGCTTCCCAGGGGGGCCATGTCCTGGGATGGAACCCCACCGCCCTCCAAGTACAGAGCTGGCCTGAGACCCAGACCCTCACAGCCCTCAAGGGCCAGGCCATGGGTGGGCAACTGTGGGTAGACATCCGCTGGGCAAGACCCACCTTGGTCCACAGGGGATGCCTCCTGCCCAGGAGGCTGCAGGTCCAGGCCTCAGGGTGGGCTGCTGGCAGAAAGCCCCCTCCCCCTATAGACAAAGGGATCCAGCAGCCCCTCGCCAGTGGGAGCCCCCTCTCCTGCCCCTCCTTTGTTCGGGGCCACACTGATTTGGGGGGACAGCCCAGCGCATGGCGTGGGGGCAGCTCCCAGCATCACACATGCTCAGGGGTTCTACATACCCTTGCCAGGCCTCAGTTGCCCCACCTTCAAGGGTGTGGCCTTTGTCCCAGGACAGGAAGCCCCAATCTGTGTATCTGGGAGGGTGGTCCCTGCTGTCCATAGGTGGGTGTGGAAAGTTCCTGGCTCCAGCCTTACTCAGGGTTGATGTTCCTGAGGGATAACTGAGTTCTGTGGAGGCAGGGGAGGGTCTCTATGTTCCTAGCGTCTCCTCCCCCAGCGTGGAGATGAAGGTGTGTGTGTTTGCGAAATGGATGAAGGGGCCTCTACCCCCTTCTTGCCTCTCCCCATCAGCTGACCATTGTCTGGAGAAGTCTGTCCAGGCCATGTGGGGGCCACAGCCAGTCAGAGATTCATCTCAGGATGGGCTGGGCTCCTGCTAGGAGGGAGTGGGACAGGGCAGGCTGTGACAAGGAAATAGGACCAGCCAGGCCAGCAGTCTTTGGGCTCGGGACCCCAAGGTGGCTGAAGACCAGTTCAGCCCGGCCAGCCTGCAGCTCCAGCCCCCTCAGTGCAGCCCAGGACCTCAGCCAGCTCTCCGGGTGCTGGTGATTCCAGACGCTGCTCCTGCCAGGGCCCTGGAGGCCTCACTGCCCCAGAATCCTCACTCGGGAGGGAGCAGCCCAAGGAGGAGATGACAGGGGAGGTCCCAGGAAGGAGGTGGCAGGGGATGGGGACACAGGGGCTAGACAGAAGGTCCCAGAGTGGCCAGAGGACACGTGATAGGAAAGGAACAGACTCGTAGTGGACATGAGGTCGGGGCAGCCTGGTGGCTCCAACCATGGGTGGACTGAGGCCTCCTGGGATGTGAGCGTGGCCAACCTCCACCTCCATCTGCCCGCAGGGACCAGGCTACCCAGCTCACTGCTCATCACCGCCAGGCCTGGCTTCAGCACATCTAAGTACATGGTGACAATGTCAGCATTTGGGGCCCCGCAGGCTCAGGTACACATCAAGATATGAACTTCCTCCACTTTCCAGCCCATTCCTGAAAGACAAGGGGATGCTGGGAGCAGAAAATGGGCCCACCAGAGCTGGCTGCATGTTCACCAGAGGATGAGTCATACCTAGGCTGGGGCAAGCACCCCCACAACTCCACTTCATCCTGTCTTGTGGCCTCTGCTGCCCTCTGACACCCTGGAATTCAGCCTGTTTCCTGCTAGAGTCTAAAGTCGGCTCCAGGTGGGCCAGCCTCTGTGTTTGACCCCCCTGGACTCTCCAGTGTCCAGCCTGGTACTCAGTAGGCGCTTTGTGAAGGTCTCCACGGCAGTGTTGCCTAGCACAGCCTTTATAAGCAGAATAGGTAGCTCAAACACAGGGGCAAATTCCACTGCATTAGAAGTAACCCCCCGCCCCGCCCCTCATGTGCCCAGAACACAGGTCTGTTTCCCGAACCCCTTGATGTGAACACTCAGTCCGCGTCCGCCCCCACCAGGGCAGGCCTGGTTTGTCTTCCTGCTCCCACACGCCTGGCGCTCAGCTCAGCACCTGCAGGCAGCGCTCAGTCACTGCTGGCACTGATCTCAGCTGGGAGGGCTCGGGGTGAGGGCCACCAAGGGCTGGGCATGGCACAGGGGCGTCTCCGCGGGCTAGAGTTCAGCATCTGGCTTGACCAGGTGGCCGCTGAAGGTGATGTAGAGGTCTCCATGCTCGCCGTAGATGGCGTTGTCGCGGTCCCGCTGGAACATGCGCACCCAGACAGTGTCGCCAGTGGCCAGCGGCAGCAGCAGGCTCTGGGTCTGCATCACGCTGCGCTCACTAGGCTGTGCGTACAGCACAGCCGTGGCCTGCCGGTTGCACATGATGTGCAGGTACGTCTCCTTATAATTCCAGGTGTGCACATTGAGGCTCAGGAAGTAGACACCAGGCACAGTGCAGAGGAAGCGGCCGGAGGCCAGGTCGAAGGCACCATCCAGGTTCACCAACTCCGTGTCAAAAGGCACAGCCTGGAGGGCGTCAGAGCTGTGCAGCCCCTCCCGCCGGCCCACTGAGAAGGCCGCGTAGGCGCGCTGGCACGGGGCGCCTGGTGGCCCCACCTGCCCCTTCTGGCCCTTGCGGCCCTGGAGGCCCCGGGAGCCTGGCGGGCCCTCCTTCCCGCTCCTGCCTGAGTGACCTCTGACCCCTGCCTCGCCCTTCTCACCTGCAGGGGGCAAGGGGAAGTTGCCAGTCAAGGTTTAGGATCCAGGGTCAGATTCTCCAGCCCCTTGGCCTTACTAGCGACCTCACCCTTCCGAGCCCCAGTCTCATCTGTCAGGTGAGTGCTAACCCACCCTCATACACTGAAGTTGTGGCCCTTCTGGGACAGTGGGGACAGTGGGGTCCAGCAGCTTCCAGAGGAAGGGTCTAAAATGGGCTTTGAAGGACAAGAGGCTGGGAAGTTGGTAGCCAAATCCAAGTTCAATTGTGGCCTCCTGTCCAGCCCTCAGGGTGGTGCCCTCTTGGAGCTCAGCCTCACTCCCCTCTCCCAGGAGGATGCTGCTCATGTGGCCTCAGGGACCTTAGCCCCCTTTTCTGCCTCACCCAGGGGCTGGGCCAGCTGCCGGCCAGTGAGCAGGATTAAAGGGAGCCTCAGGCTCCACTCTGTTCACAGCCCCCTCCCCAGGCCACCTTGCTTCCCAATTGTGGGGGTGGCCAGAGGGCTGAGGCCTTCACAAGGCTGCAAGGAGCAAGGAACAGCCACTCAGTGTGTCCCTACTCCAGGCCCCCGCCTTCCCAGACGCCAGCTCTACCCAATCAAGGCCTCTTCCCTGTGCTTCTCAGTGTGGGCTGTTCCTGTAGGGACAGGGGGTGGGACG